CTGCTCTAATTCTTATTGTATAATTTAGGTTTGCACACGATATTTACCACAAAGAAAACCAGCCTTTGTCAATGTCAATCAACAAAGCATCGAAGGTTGAACTAAATTTTATTTAGTATCTTAGATTACATTGTAATGTACTACCCCCACCGTGCACTTTTCTGCCATACCAATTAACACATTCTCTGAATCGGTACAAGGTTAACGTTGGAGTACTTCCCCTCCTGTATGCTTCTGCAAGTGTGCAAGTAATGTGCAAGTGTGCAAGTAATGGAGCAAAAAAATACTAACAAGGCTTTGCTTCACTGAACAGAAACCTTGCGTTCGGGAGCTTCTCAGCTGTCATCTTCACAGGCACACGAGGCAATCGAAGGTACTTTTACTTCTTATTTGGACTGAAGAGATTTTGAAAATTAAAGAACACATATAATTTTATACTTTGGAACAATTTACAATATGTAAAGGCTTGCAAAAAAGGGTTTTAAATATAGCTAATTAACTCTAATGCCGTGTCAAGCGAGACTAGTAATTTTACGTGTACCACTTTTACAGTGGTGTTCTCCAAGGATCAAGATTTGGTCCAATATTATTAAATAATGTACCCCATAAACCATTTCTGTACAGTACATGTATTGTGTTGTTCTAATTTGCCAACTATTATTTCTAGTACCACAGCTCCTAAATTTGTAATACACACAACTGAAATTCACGTTCGTAGATGATGCAATTCATTGCTACGAGCTATATACATGTCAATCATCTATAGACAAAGTATAAATTCAGAAAAGAAACGGAGTACTCTACATGCTACTTATCTGGATAAATACTGTTTCTCTACTCTGTCTTTATAACCAAACGATTTCTGTAGCTATATGCCTATAATTTGTGACCTTCCATGGAATTGAAAATAACTTATAAGAATACCTTGTTTGAATTTAGATGACTATCAACAGCTGGCGCCAGGTGAAGAGAAAGATTTAGACGTGACTATGTCGAGATACGAATGTGCCATCAGCAATATTGAAGCTTTCACTGAGAAACTATCAAGAGATTTATCTCTGCTTGATGGAGTAAGTGTACATTGTAAAAACTAGGAAAGACTTGTGCACTCTATAGCGGACATATCTGTCTTGTTTTCTTTCTCAAAATCTCATTTGAAACATTAGGTAAATTTTGTCATTATTGTGTCCGTAATGTAAATGTAAATATAAATTATGTGTTATAATATATAATACGATGTTTTAAATACATTTTAGGCTAACATATCATCTATCATGAGTTCCGAAAGTCAGGTGAAAAACATAATGGAGTGTATAGATGAAGGTTTGAAAGAACTGGATGAGTTGGAGAGAACTTGAAGAGATATGATAAACTGCTGCAGGTGAAAAGTAGCTAACAATCAGTAATTACAGTTTTGTACAATACAATTTCATAATCACACTAATTACCACTCATTTTGCTCGAATTTTTACGTGTTCTGACCAGTGAACTCTAAAAAGACTGGAACGATAACTTGGCCGCCATCTTTGAAGCCAGCACTGATGGCCGCCATGAAGGCCAAGAGTTGAAATTACACCACCAAAACAACGCCGGTTTTTATACACAAATCCTTCTCATCTGATCATGAATAATTAAAACAAGCATTGAGATTTACTAAAAAACAAGTTTTATGAACGTGAAAAGGTGCAAACCTATTTTTTTTTGCGAGTTGAAGGCGAAGTTTTTTTTCGGCCCGTTCAAATTCTTTAAATATTTCAAGTACAAAGCTGGTACCTCGCCGGTTTTTACAGTAAGATGATGCGGATTACTTAGGTCTATCCAAAAAGGGTAAATTCGATGTTTAAAGTTGAAGTGGTCAAATAAAAATTGCACTTTTCTCGCAATTTTTTGCCAAAAAATACGATTTTTACGGAATTTTCACTCTCCCCAGTTCTTTTGAAGGCTTGATTTGCTCGCTCGGCTGCCACCTTAATCAGCAAATTATATTCAAATCGGCTTCATCCAATGACTAGAGTTCACTGGTTCTGACCGGATTTAAATATTGGCTTGCATTTTCCTTTTTCTCTTTTCAATTAAAGAGGTAACATTATCCGTTGAGGCAGAAATTCGTACTTCTTTTCATGTGATTATGCATGCATCTAAATGGCTGGAACGACATAACTAATAGCCCTAAGGTTCCTCTATTAACTATTAACTGTGACTTCAGCTATTGATATGACTAAAATACTTAAGTGGTTGTCAAAAATGCTGTATTTCCTTAGAAAGCTCGCGATCATATGGAACACATGGACGAAAAAAATAAACGGATGCAGCTGGAACGCGATAATCATAAGAAATTATCCGACGAAGTTCAAAATTTAGTTGTAAGTATGCATGTGATGACTGATACTTCCTCGTTTCTAATCTACGGTGTTGGTTTCGTCAATGCAACCAATATAGCCGTATGAGAAAGCCGGGCTATTGTTACTCACACTTTACAGCGAAATTACTCAGGTTACGAGGCTGCACTTTACGCGCGTTCGTAATTTTCGCTGGAAACCCGAAGCGCTAAACGAAATTGTTGAGTATTCTATCCGCACTGCTGTCGTTCCTTTCTTATTCTTACTCGGGTAGGTTTGAACGAATTTATTGTAATGGTCCACCACCAGGAGAATGTATTCGAATCCGCCTGAACTCTGTTCCAGGTGAACAAAATCAATTGATATCATTTGAAATGGCGTTGTTGTAATGATCGGAAAGATTATTGTCCGGGTAAGACCGGGGATGCCGTTTTGTTGTGTTTGCTTCATACATCGGCAACATGGTGCACAAAGTGGTCGATATCTTTCCTTATTTTTGGCTAAAAGAACCTCACACCTTACTTCATGAATCTTTCGAAAAACCAAGCGTCTAATCGTCTGTGGTTGGACCATTTGCGAAAAAGAAAACTGCTTTTGGTGTCCCATTTAATGTTCTTGATAGTAATCGTTGGTGGAACCTGGGTACCAGTGTCCCACAATGCCGTGACCTTTTTATCATTAAGGCGAAAAGTTACAGGACATTTGTTTCCAAATGAGCAAGCGCATGTTGTTTTGGCGTCATATGACTGGCGAATTCTGCCATCTGAACTGTCGCCTTAGGGAATACAGCTTCCTGATTAATTGTCTTACACCAATTCTTATGGGTTGTCCAATGATTTTGTTGACATCCCACTGATCAGTGACAAACCGATTTGCAATTGGAACACTGTTGTGAGCGAGTCGTTAACATTGTGTTCTTACAATTATATCAGTGGGACTTTCAGTGGGTTGCTCGACGGCTCACTCTTGGTCGTGACAAACAAGACCTTGCAATGTGGTTTACCCTAATCACACTTGGTGTGGGACACTAATCATACTTGCTTTGCTTAGGGGGTTTTATAGCCCATCCTCAATCATGCAATTTCTTCCCATTCTTTTGGTTGACTGTCTCATATTTAATACCAGTACAGTATCTGATTCTTTCGATGCACTGTCAAAGTTTGCATAAGGAAGGCTTGCGGATCTTCATTTGATTGTTGTTTCATGTTTTTAGTGACTGTTCCGTGGCATTTTTCTCTTTAATTGGAATGCAACCTTGTCTTCATCTTCTTCAATACTGTCTAAATTTCCTTCGAGCTGACTTCGAATTTTTTTTATAATCTTGAGTTTCCTTTTACGGTCTACTTCGTCCATGCACTTTAATAGAAAAGGCAAAGTTATTTCATTATTTCTTTTCAAGAGATAATATTTTCGCATCCACACTTCTGTTAATTTTTTGGTAAAGAGATTCCCGTCTGAGCCCCAATTTGTTACTCACACTTTACACGGATTTACTGGTTTTATCTTCCTCTCTTTCTGGCCGTTCAACATTTATTTTTGGAGGTACACTAGCAAGTGGAGTTGTGAAGCTAAAGTGGCGAAACGGTTTGTCTTGGCGTATTGACATTGTATGTCCATCTTTGACCTCTTTCACTGACAGTACAAAAGTTTTTGTTCATTGCCTTGCTCTATTCATAATTTTCATTCACCTTGTTCATGGAAAGTATGAGAAACCAAGAGATTCATACAATAATGAAGTGAAATATGCAAAGTGGAAACAACCAGAATGATCTGTGAGTGGGAGTGTAAACGAGCACCAGGGACATTTAAATGGGGGTACACGAGCTCCAGAAAAGCTCTGTGCGAGTAAGCATCACGCTAATGGGAAATGGCTCTCGATAAGTTGAAGCACACTTATTTGCTGAGTGGAATGTTGAACGAAATAAGAAGCATAGTTATAAAACTATCTCTACATTTGCATCTTGAATCTTATTAGCCCTTTCCATCCACAGGGATTTTCAAATGCCATTGAAGTAGTAATGATTAATAATAGTTCATAAATCTTGCCCAGTGATCAACCTACACGTATTGAAATTTCTGTCACAGAGGAAATCTTTTCAAAGGAATATCAATTGCGGTTGACACACGAGAAACCATTTAGGACTGTGTTTGTGTACCATAATACACATGTAAAATATGTACAGATGCAAATTGGGAGCTTGAGAACATGAGTTAATTTACACGCATATCACAGATTTACTATTTGTTTGGCAACAGTACGTCGATGTAATGGTCGATAAGTCATAAAATTAGCTCGTGGAGTCCTAGTCCTTGCTTGAAGAGCAAAAATTGATTACTCATTTACTCAGAGATATCATTCCCAACACTTGAAATAAATTCCATATTTCCAAGCATCCATGTATTATTCTGTTTATTATATAATAAAGTTTTTTTACCCCCCTTCCTGATTCAAGATCGGTGGATCAAACACGATAATCGCACATGTGTTATTATCGCTTTTCAAAATGGCGGATTCGTCAATAAAACACTGCATATTATATAATAAAATATTATATTGTTCTTTACTTGCCTTTCATATTCATCACAGGACATTTTGGATGTACCTGAAGCCACTCTTAGTACATTGCAAAGAAAAAGTTTATCAAATGCCACCGAGTTAGCACAATGTACTGAGGCCGCAAAAGCAGTTCGCAATGCTATGAGTGCTGAACTCAGTCCAGGTATAAAGTTTACATTTGCACTCACCTTTTACGCTGCCGTATACACGTCTTTCCTATATTCTCGCACATTTTTCTATTTTTCTAATGCAGTATACCGCGTTTCATTTTCCTAGGACTGGACAAACTTCATGCTGTGAAAGAACAAAGAGACATGTTTTGGAATCTTTGTCAAGAATTTGCTACCTTTCTTGCATCACATTTAAAGAGAGTATTCCAAAGTCACGTGAGTCCACTGTAACTGAAATTAGTGCGTGTATCAAAATATCAGTTTCTTTGTTAAATCCATCTGATACAAAGTTTCAAAATGTGCTATGCTTCAGTAATTTTCAAAAATATCATAACAAGATAAAAAATATAGTTGCTTTTGAAAATTGTAAAAGAAAATAGAGGCTGCATGACAAACCAGCGTCATTGAAATTGTAAGACCAAAAATATCTTGACATGTAATCATTTCCCGGGGATTAAAAAGCCATACACCTAAACATTTGTGCGCGACGAAAGCTTGGAAACGTTTTGGTAAAGTTACCCGCAAAAACTGCATGCACGAAAAAAACAAGTCTCATTGCGGTTTCTGTACGACGTACTACTGGCAGCTGACGGTATTAGTGTAGTCTAATGGCCGACATGAAATGATATTGAAATTTTCAGGAAGATGAGACAGAGACACTGGTCAAACATTCCAATGAACTGGTTATTCCAAGTCACAACAAAATCCATGATGAACTTGCTCCATACACAGATCTTATGTTTTGGCTCAAGGAAATTGACCAGTCAAAATTTACAGAGCTAATTCAGGTAGCAAAATTTCAAGCCCTCGAACAAATGGCCTTGGCATGCAGTTAAGATTATAATTTAGTTCTCGTTTCCCCAATGAAATCTTCATATTCTCGTTTCCTAAAAGAACAGGGTTTTTTTGTAGATTTATACACAATGTTTTAGCAAGGTTTATGAGAAAGAAATTCGAGATTTCTTTGAAGTGTCCAAACAAAGATGTTCTGCAAGGAGTGCGAAAGCCGCAGGTACATATTATATAGTATTGCATTATCACATTCTTTGCTCTGATAAACTTTCTCCGTTTTTGCGTGCACTATTCTCATGCATAGCTGCACCCCTGGCGACCTGACGGGTTTTTTAACACTTACTGTAAATGTAGGCAATCTTCGTGCTGGTTCGCATCTCTCTTTAAGCCGAGATGAAGTTTCCCACGGAAGTCCAATGCCATCTCGTGTGACAAGGTTCGATAAACACACCACAGATAGTCCTCAACTCAATCGTCGTTCACCGTCGGGATCACTGAGTTCTCAGGATTCTCTTGTGTCTTCGGATAGCGTCTCTGAGAGCCGAAGTAGATTTGATAAGGTACATATAGATACACTGTTATGTGTCCCCTATAAATAAAGTGTATACATTTTCATTAAAGTTTTATCCATGCAATGAATGGGCCATTCTCGCTTTAAACAAAATTTGAAAACTGATAAAATTCACAAGTAAACTGAAAAGAGCATCCTAAAATTAGCAAGATTGGTAAGTTGGTTGGGAAATATCGAAAAACGTGGAAGTAAAGCTCTGCGAAGTTGACAAAATTCAGCTTAAAGAACTAGGGAATGGTGTATAGCCTTATAGCAACAGGTTATATTTTCCATTTCAGTCAAATATAGTTTCAATTGAAAAAGCACGCAAAGTAGACGCAAAAATTAATTGAAATTCAAAATGCTACACTGGAACAGAGATTTCTTAACCTCTTCGTTAGTTTGTCAGAATGTGCCCGCCTTTTCGTAATGTCGAGTCAGTTTTGCTACACGTCTCTATGTAATGATTTAACTTTGTATAGATTTTTGATACGCTGTTGTCGGAATTGGAACCTGCTTGCCTCGCTGAACAGAAGTTTATTGAGAAATTCTTCCACATGCCGTTACCCAAAGACGATTCAGAGGTATTCCTATATATACTGCATGTCTCCGCATGCAGAAATGACCGTAATATATTGTCCTATTACATTATAAATAATCAGTTTGTACAACGTGTAAAACTAGAAAAGAACTATATACTGTATATGAATTAAAATTGGTCGTCTCATTCATCACTTTTTGACCAATTTTTGTAATATAGCCAATAAAAATTAGTCAAATAAATGAATCCGTCGTAACCTGGTTACTGTTTTTTCAGTGACAGTGTACTATTTTTTGTATTAAAACATAAGTTGTTGACGTAAATCGGCGGATCTGAGACAAACTCTTCGACCAGAACCCGGGGTTTGTTGCGTATAAATTCGTCTGTTTCATTTCAGACATCCAGCATATCTAGTGGCAGCTCAATTTTGTTGAAAGATAATCCAGATGGTTCCTTCATGTCTCGCCCCAAACGTTCTGGTGAACTCGGATTGTAGTAAGCGTACATTTGGTTACAAGCATGATTAAAACTGCAATAGCGACACCAATAAAGGTCATCTCCTCACAATCGGCTACACTGATACCCGAGCATGGGAATTTTTAGCATATACCTGCAGTTTTCCTCCACCGCGACAAAAAGAATTTCCTCTTTCCCTGTGTATCTAAAAATGCCTTCGCTTTTAGAATGGTTTAGCAAATACTCAGTATATTACTCTATTTCTGTAGCAAAATTATGGCAGACCTGTTTAGCGGGCTGGATCCAGAACTTCAAAATTTTATTCACTTTGGTGATAAACTCGATAGCTTGTAAGTAAATGTACCGCATATTTTTTTAGTTTAATACATAGATTAACATAATATATGTAACGAGGTCAGTCTATACGGCGTGGCATCTAAAGCAAAACTATGTATATTACAGTAGTTACTTCAAGTAACGAATTATGAATGATATTCTATTTTATTTTCTACAGTAATACAATGTACATGCTTGTACGTGTTGGTGATTACGTGATGGCCCATGAAGCTTCTGGCATACATATATCTTTTCTCAGTCATCAGCTGGCTCAGTCATTAATCTTGGTGAAGAGATTGTTTGATAAATTTATTGTAAGTATTAACTATTTCTGTCCTTTTCCCCCGAAAATATTCCGATATGTGACTTTATTGCTATTATTATACTATAATTGGTATTACGTGACTTTATTGATATTAAAACAAACTATAATCGATTGGTAAAAGTGACACAGTGGCACGTATCTAATTCTTTTTCCAACTTTACAATTCAGAATCTAATTCTGTTTCCAATTCAAAATTTTTTTCGAATTCTGTTGATTATTCTATTCTTTAAAATATATTTTCCAGTATATCATTTATATTTATTCCCGTTGCAAATTAATTTGCGCTATTCCTTGGTTTTTGCAAAATATCCCTTCACTAGGGGCTCAATTTGCAAGTCGCGAACACAAACAAAATATAAATTGAGCCTGTTTAAATGATAATTCTATATGGAAATATTCTGGCATATTGTTTGAAGAACTGTTGAGGTTCATCGTAATTATCTCTACTCTGGTTTTAATAAATGAAAGTAATTACCACACAAAGATTACATCTTTCATCGCTATTACTTTGAACATATACAGATGGCGCTTGGAAAGCAAGTGGAAGAAACAAAAGTGCCGAAGAAAAGTAGATGCGGTATACTGCCATTTGTTTCAAAGTTCGAGGTATAGCTATCATTTCCAATGTTTGCGTTAGAATAAGGGCCTGTTTATATGATCCCGCCTAGCCGGGACAGTTTCCGAGATCCCGCTTGTAATACAAAGACTAATTAGAGTTTATATGACTACTTTTCTATTCCCGCGTAGGCGTGATCCCGGCAAGAAGTGCCGGGATCCCGCTTAGACGGGACGAGAAATTGCCATAAAAACACTCCATCCCGCTTGGCCGGGATGAACATACATTTGGAGCATTTGGGTCGCGATAAACACACATTTGGAACACGTGTATATATTGGCATATTCGTTTTCTACAATAAAACATGCCGTCGAACAAACCTACGCTACAAAATGAACTCCATGCACATAAACACGCCATCGCGCCTATATAGGCTCGTTCCCCAGCTAAGCGGGATGAAAACAACCCGTCCCGGCTAGACGGGATCATATAAACAGGCCCTAAGACATATCAAAGGGGCCTGTGCAAGGCAGACGACCTTTTGTACTGCAACATGCAATCCGGAATAAAAATCCCGAATAAAAAAGGTCATATTGCCTCATACAATATACGATTCATATACAAGACAACGCTAAAATTACGCGTATATCATGCTCCGAAGATCTTTTGTTCGCTTTGCTCGAGATGCTTGACACCCGTTCTATAGAACATAGTCTATTATAGTTTTCCCATGCATGTTTTAATTCTATCACCTTCCCTATAGAGTTTTGCAGAAACGGCCGAATTAATCTTTAAGAGTTCAGAGCGCCGTAACGACTTGGATAAATCATATCGTTATCTTGTCGGTGTCGTGTTTAAAAACATCGAGAGAGCTGCTGTTGAAAACCAAAAGACACCTGCTGACGTCATTCAATTTGGTAGGTACATGTTATACTTATAGAGATCTAAAATTACCATGCTTATAAATATGGTTTAAAATTTGATTGGACATGCATGTTAAGCCATATTTTTTCTTGTATAATTTATATATATAATTCTATATTTGAAAATGTTATGGACCTATTCGAAAGAGAGCAGGAGATGTGACAGTTAAAACACGAGGCTATATAGTCAGATTTTCTCCTGTCGAATTTCGAAAATTAGTTTACTTTCACTTTTTATTGCTGTACCATGCAACTTATACAAAAACTTAATCGGTCGAAATTGTAACAGTAGAAAAAAACCCTGACTAGCCTTGTTTATTTAGGTTATAGAAGCTATTTTTAAGAATGCATGCATTGTATTGCATGGAGGTGTATATTATTACGAATTTTTATTGATATTAAATATATTACGTATATATAGTATTTAAAACACGAGAAGGAGCGTTTTTATCATATTTACGACAATACTATAATAAACGTGACAAATCATATGTGCCATCCTCATTAGCATTTAAGGTACTTTACCACGTATAAAGCCACCACATGTGACTTCGTCTATAGGGATGATGCTTCATTAAGCATTATGAATTAAGATATTTAATAACCTAAATATTATTACATGCAGGTTTATATTATTCAGAACTCTTATTGACATTAAATATATTATAGATATTGAATAACACATAATCTTTATCGAATAAGATAACGTTATTTACCATATTAATTTATTTTTTGTATCCTCTCTTCTGTAGAAAATTACCACCACTTGTACGGTAAGTGTTTGGTTGTTTGGCAATTAATTGTATATAGTAGACAGTTTGCGCAGTTGTGTGTCTAATTCGGTGTATTTTTCTGTGGTCATTAGGCGTTTTATCGCGGTTAAAAATTGCCAGTTTGGACGGTGAAAGAAAACAAGCGAAAGTCCAATACACTGAACATATGAATTCGTACGCAACGACAATGTTTGGACGACCGATGGAAAAACTTAATGTAAAGTTAACTTTAACTATACGTTTTAAGTATAGTTGTGAAATCATGAATCTTTGATACAAAATACCCATACAGATCGGCCGCTCGTATTTTAACTAGTAGCTACTTAACGCGTTAACTGTAAGTTTTTACACAACTGGTTTAGCTACTTGATTAACTGATTTTAATAACAGCTGCACATCGTTCAAGCTAAAATGTAGTTAAAACGTAGAAGGCCCCTGGATGATTATAAAATACAAAATTGTCTTTATTTTTAGACCTTTTTCGATGGTATCGAGGAAAAACTCTCAAGCGGTGTAAAGGCAGAAGAAATAGGTTACCAATTAGCATTTAGTAAACAAGAGCTGAGGAAAGCGATAAAAGAATATCCCGAGAAAGAGGTGAAAAATCGCGCTTGTTAAATTTCCGCATGAAACAAACTGAAGGATTTGATGACAGGATAGATTCAATGCCTATAATCAAACTAAGCAAAAAAACTAAAGTGAAAAACTATCTCGAAAACTAAGACACTAAAAGGAATTAAGGACTGTAAAATATTTTTTATTAATTTCAAGCATCCAGGGATACCTTAACCAGTTAAGTTTTTATATATATTATTTAGATAAAGAAAGGTTTGGAACATCTCTATAAGAAAGTTGAAAAACATTTGTCAGAAGAGGAAAATTTACTCCAGGTTTGTAATAACTCGCTATATATAGCATAGTATAGGCTATTTGCACTATTTAAAAAAGTTGGTTTTCATCGAATTTAATGCCATGCAGCTTTTAACCCGA